AGCTGAAATTTTGCAACCAGAGGCTAGTGTTTTAGGCTGTCCTCCCCAGAATCTCAAAGAATGTCCACACGCTCAGGCACTGGGATCCATTAGCCCCAGTCCTGAATATACATCATGCTCCATCCTTCTTGGAGCAACTCTTTGAAGTTCTCCACACTTTTGTTCCCTAGAAATTAAGTTTTATAATACAAATGCATCTCTAATTGGCTTTTACCAAAGCCAGCAGCAATGGATATTTTACCAGTGGTTCCTCTGGGTTTAGACCTAATTGACCAGAAGGTGTGTGACCTCTATAAATACACCTGCTGGCCCTTCCTGGGAGCGAGGTGCCTTATTATTTCTCCTTTCCTCCTATCCAGCCTGCTGGCTACTGCTTCCCACCCACTCTGAGCTGCTCCCTTGGTTTCCTTGTACAGAGTTATTAGTGTTATTCAAACATTGGTTATACACAGATTCTATTAAGCTTATGATCTGTGTTAGTGGTTTCCTATAGAGACCTATATGTGCTACATTGTGCATATAGGTTAGTTATTGATAACAAGTTGCTCAGGGGGGACTCATCTATGAGAACAGGAACTTCTCAGCTTTATGCTCTGACACTGTCACTTAGGCTATAATTTCCAAAACCCTCCAACAATAACATGCTTAATTTTTAATACCTACCTTCAGGTGAGTCACTGAGCACCTCAAGCTTCTGTTAACTTCATTTGGATTTGAGGTGCTGGTCTTGAAATGAGGCCACTGGCATTGGGCACCTCCAGCTTCCCCTGACTTTGGCTTTTGGGTGCCTGTACACACTAGAAACAAGCTAAACAAAAACATGTTTGGGTTTTTTTTTGTTTGTTTGTTTGGTTGGTTGGTTGGTTGGTTGTTTTTTTTTGAAGAGCCTTCAACATTAAAATGGGACTTCCAATTTCTAAAGGCTGACAGGGAATTAGTTTTGAGTCAGTCTTTGTGTGGTCATTTTTACTCTGCAATGAGCGTATTCTTGCACAGAATTACACTAAAAAATTTGTCAAGAGACATTGTCTTTTGTTTCCATGAGTTTGCAAATATTCCCAAGCAAATGTGATGTAAGCCAGCAAGACCGAGCTTTTATCCTCCCAAATAAAAGACCTTCCTGAACAACATAGACCCTCAGCTAACTTTGAGCTCCAGCGGCTGCTGGAGGGAGCGTGCTGCTGATCTCACGCTGCCAGCAGCCGTAAGGCCCAATCCTTTTGCCATGGCACTGACACGGTGCTGAGACAGCCTCTGCCTGAGCAGGCGTGCATTGCTGTGTGCCCAAAGCAACCAGGAACGGCACTGCTGTAACAGCAGCTAGAAGATTATACAATGTATGTGGCAAAATAATTCCTGTCTCAGTGCACCAGGAGCTCCTCCCCATGTAAACAAACTCTTGGTCACTTTTGAAAGTTGGACTTTGCTTCTTAAATTATTTACATCTTGTAAATTTAAGGTACCCTGAAAAAAATGGAGCAGAAAATAGATATTCAGGTACTTGGCACCATTTTCCAAAATTTCTGTTTGCATTCCCAGCAGCCTAAGCAGATAGATATATTATGAATCTGGCCTTTGGTGCTCCAGTCTACTGCAAAAAGTTCAAAGCAGACACACACTGAGGTCATCGTTGCATCTTGCTGCGAGTGTAATGTAGACATCTGGAGCACTGCTAGGTTGGCTCTCCCAGGCAATGGCAGCTGGCTGTGCAGCGGTGTCCTTCTGCCCAGGCAGAATGGTGCAGCTCATGCGAGTTCAGTGCTGCTCCAGCCAGGCTACCACAGGGACGTGGACAAGGGAAGTTATGGCTGCAGTAGGGGGGCTCCATATAGTACTGCCATGGCATCATGTTTTGATGAGACTTTAATAAAACTAAGTTTCCCAAATTCCTCTGATGAAGGACATTATATGTTTTCAGTCGGTTTCATTGCCTAATTATGAACAGCAACTAAGACTTTCACACACATAGTTTGTAATTATTCGCATTTTGCAAAATTCCCTTGCCTTGACTTCTCTATTACTACTAGTAGTGTAGTAGTAGTAGTAGTAGTACTAGTAAGGCATACTGCACATTTTATTATTTATCCAAGTTCCATAGACCAAGCCACGTCATCAAGCCTCACATCTTCAGCTGACAGCAAAATGGCTCAGACCTGAAGCAGCTGGCTTGATGCTGCTGTGATTGTGGCTCACATGTACCTTGACAGACTCCACAACACTGAAACTGAATTAAACTGGTAGTACACAGGCATGCAGCACATACCACCGAGGCTGATTCTGCAGATGGTCAGACCATGAGTGAGCTTGCCCACAGGAGCAGTCCAACCCGAGGACTCCCACTGATTGCAACACTGCAGTGAGATTATTTGCATACACGAATTTGTGCGTGTGGATATGTTCTTGTATTTATCAGTCCTGTAGTTCCTAGGTACCATCAACTTCCAGTGACCTTTCTGGGAGTTGGCAGTGTTTAGAGCTGCATCGTATCCCGTGCATCTGTCCTAATTCAGCGACTCACTGAACTGCGCCAGTAAGACTCATGCAGATCTGTATGTGATTTACGGAATGGGGAACACGTTGATGGCCTTTACGCACCTCTAATCAGCGATTTAATTGTACTTTCAAAACACTGCTTTGAAAACTGCGCTCTCGGTGAAGAATAAAGCCAATGCTAATGTTTTTTTCCTCATGCTATTAGGTCGGGTCAGATTGGGAAATGCGTGTGCGGGCAGGCAGAGGCCGCCAGGCCGGCTGGCTTCAAGGCCTAGTTGGCGAGAGCTCAGTAGGGCCCTGCGCTGGGGCCTGGGCACCGATGTCCCACACAAAGAAAACAGTTCCTCAAGGAGATACCTTGAAGCCGCCAAAGTAACTGAGCAGGGGTTCTGTGTTATGTTATTTCTTTTCTTGTTGGTGTCTGTACACTGCAGTCACGGTGGTGGGCAAACCACAGCGTGGCCTGATTGTCTGGGCAGACGGACGGAACAATGCCGGCCCCTTCTTCACGGGCTGCATCTCCTGGAAAAGGCTCTCTGACTCGGCTGTGGGGTTTTGCAACAGTATGGAGTGAATATGTCCAAATGGGAAAGTCTCCAAATGGTGACTGGGACATTAGTACGAAGTATTATTAATAAATGAATTGACTTTGTTTTTATTAGCTAGATAAATAAACCTAGGCTCATATTGTTGGAGTGAAACTAAAACTGGGAGAGACAACGTTAAGAACACAACTAGAATAAAAGCTGCCACACAGTAAATCAAAGAAAAAGAAAAGTACATGGCTATTAATGTTCTACTATAACATTCCTCACAAGCTCTCTGCAGTGTGGAGAACTGCAAGCCAACATTTTTCAACAGTCCCAAAGAATGTGAAATGTAAATGTTTAGAAGAGTGTTTTTCTTGCCAAGCTGAGAGCAATCATAAACATCAGCTTCTACTAGAAACATTTTAAAAAGATGCACTCCTTGCTGCCAGCTTTGGAGAGCAACACCATTTAAATTAGATTTGAGTGTCCTTGGATTCTTGACACTCCATTGCTACCTTTTATTTGCCAAAAATTGTTGGATCGATGTTATGTTTGAATTTAAAGTATGAACTGCAACTGTATTAAATATGTTGCTTAAATGTTATGTGGATAAGCAGTCAGTTAACCTGCCTTGGATTCATTTTGAGGAAGACACGGGTCAAAAGAAAACGTTGAGGGAAAAGAACCATTGTTTTAATTATTGTACTTATTTTCTGTGCCATTACAAATGTGCATGGTGTGTTCCTGTCAAGTGGCACTCACAGATTTGTTGAGGTGTAGTATTGCCATAGCTAATAATATCCTAAAAGCTAACCATGACTTACTCCTTACTGTAACCACTCTGCCTTTCAGCTGAGAGGTCTGTAAATATCATTAATAAAATTATCCAGTAAACCGCCATTGTAGATCTGTATTAGGTAATACTAAACTGCTGATTCTGACAGCATGTTATTTCTTCACAATAACATCCTCCTATAAATTGTCATCTGATAATCTTAGCCAAAATGTTAAAATACAGGAAAATTGAAACGCTTTGCGAACTAAAGCCAGTTTCAACTGATTGTTTTAGTTATATCACCCTCAGATTCCAAACAAATCAAATTATATAATTTTAGCATTTTCTAAAAAGTAAAGCATTTCAGCTTTGGGATTCAAAGTTTCCATTTTAGATTAGTGCTTAATTATATTTTTGGAAACCCTTAAAGCAAAATTAAATATTTGAATCAAACCATTTCCGTATGAACCAAAACATCTTTTTTGTCAGTGCTGCGAGTGAATCAAATTTAATATGTTTTTAGAAGAAAGAGCCATCTCTGATCACAACCAAAAGCATCTCCTTATATAATCAGTGCTCATTTTGTTCACCTCCCTTATTTTGCACCATGAGAGCAGATGGACTTGGGTTCACCTGGTCATTTGTGGATCATAGTTATTCATCTTTGCACTTTTCATTTCAATAAAAGACTTTGAAATAATCTAGGAAAAATCTGTTCTTAGAGAAAATTTCCTGGTGTTATGTATAGCATGCCACTTCTTTGGAACAACTTTGTAAATTTGAAAGAGGATTTTCAAAGGCATAGAGAGCAGTTTGGAGCACCAGTCTCAGATAAACAGATTCTTAAAGAAGGATGACAAAGCTAATGCTGCTTTGAAACTGTAGTACTGAAATAGTAATGGTGAAATCATGAGATTTCATTTTCAAAAACAGTAATATATTTTTAGTTATTTTTTTTCTTCCTTTTTTAATTTGTATTTTGGGATGATCACATGCTACTTCGACAGGGTACTTCTGCAAGTGTGGCTGCTGGGACTGTCCAGCTGCTCTGTTCTCCTCCAGTAGTCCCGTCTGAGAACAGCTGAACTTGTGGGGCATATGATGAAAAGCAAGGAGAAAACACCTCGTCATTATAAGCAGATGTTTTGAATGAATGCAGAAGACTGAATTAATTTCCTCTTTTTCTCTCTTTGTTGCTACAGAAACAGTGATCTTTGGAGTTTACAACTGTTACCTGTGTCAAAGAAACAGAGACTAAAAATGAGTGTAAGAGCAGAGAATACCTGCAGCCATCACAGGGTGCGAGGACATGAAAAAGACCCAACAGCAGCAAATAAGAAGATGTGAGCTATGCTATGCTCACAGTGGAATCATTAGGAATTTTACCATGAGAACAGAACGGAGTTGTTCTTTCAGGTATGAAATGCACTGTAAATTACAAATATAGAGCTCACATTAAGAGGTTAAGACAGGAAGCTGTTTTCTTTCTAGGATGAGCCAAGAAGCTGCAATAGCTGGGTCTCTAAACTTGTGTATTCTAGCCAAGCCTTGGCAGAAGTCTTGCTTCCAGCATCCCTTGAGGGTATTTTTACTTCCCAGTAATATATATCATAGTTCTCCCATCCCTTACTTGAGTTCTGGTGTCCTTCTGTCTCTTTTCCATCTGATCAAGAGCCTACACAGTAATCCAAAGTACACTGGAGTCAGTAGATGTCTTTGCACTGTCTTTAATAGGCTCTGAATCAGAACAGAGAGGTCATAGTTAGGTTTGTAATTCGTTTTGCAGATAAATTGGAACATTTTGCCATTGTTTTGATTTGAACCTCAGATAGTCCTAGAAATAGCAGAAATAGCACATACATAAAGCCAGGTTCATGCCAATGGAACAACCAGGAGAGTTTATGTATGCCATCCCAAGAGAAATGGGATCTTGGTGGCGGAACCAGGAAAGCAGTCTCAGAGTCCTCACTTCCCTCCTTGTGCTTTCACCATTTGATCACACAAACTCCCCCAGATTATCATAAAATTGTGCAAAGAGCAACATCCAGTAGAGACCAGCTCTGCCTGGCTCCTATGAGCCTGCCAAGGCTGTTAGGATAGCGAGGGAAGAGACACACAATTAATTTTAAGAAGGTTTTCCTCCCCTATTTTGTCGTTGCCTTTGTGGTGGTTTGTGAAATGCTGGGAAGGGACATTACAATGAACAGAAAATGTTCCAAGGAAACCAGCCTTCTCCATGCCGTTGCCCAACAAGCATCCAGCGTACCAACCGCGGAGCTTAGCATAGGAGTGTACGACACGACACACATGGGGACTGTGATTTCTGCTGGGATAAGGCCTGTCTGAATTCACAGCGCAGAGAAAGGGCAGAGAATTAGAGCCTGTCCCTGCCTGGTCAGGCTCTCCCTCACCTCCAATACAAATGCAGGTGCAAAATTATCAAGACTGTATTTTTTTGCATAATTTAAAGCTGTAAAATGGAAGCTGCCTTTGAGCATTTGGCTCTTCCTCTCTTGCAAGTTAGGGCCAGATGCAAAAGAAGACTTAAGCACCTACAACTCGGTAGGTTCCTCCCTGCTCAGGATAACATTTCTTCCAGTACCAGCAATTTTATGTCTAGACATGCCCAGAACTGCTGTGATCTGAGCAGCTTAGTACATAGTTCCCACCTAAAACCCGTTGGGATCCTGAAAGAAGTAAAGGAGCCTCCATTTTCTCAGGCCAGCCAAATCAAATGGAATGTTCTGAACAAGCCTCATACACACCAGCAGGACCAGTCCCCTTGTATGGTACAGTCATAACTACTTTCTTTTAAATTTGACCAGAGGGGAGTGGTGCTATCTGGCTGAACAGTGCTTTTGACTGACAAACACAAGCAAAGTCAGAGATGTTCTTAGCTATTTCGTGTAAGGGTCCAGGCCTGCCCCGGTCTTGTGGGCATTGTCTAGGAGAATAAACATTCCCTTTGGGAATGAGATTGGAAATCTGAAAGTTTCCACCACAAAGAAGAAAGGAAAACACACACACACACATACACACACACACACACACCTTTCAAGGAAAACATAAATGTAGAGAATTAAAAATAATAATAATAACAAAAAAAAAGCTGAAGAAACCACAGTTATTTTGCTGGCTAATATCACGAAGACATGATAGTACTTGCAGCTTCCTGCTTGGACCTGGCTTGCTCCAAAGTTATTTTGTGTGTTAATCATGTGGTTTAGATGATGAAGATTAGGTCTGAGTAAGCTGTTTCAGATAAAAGGGGGAAAAGCAGCAACCAAACCTTCACCCAAAACTCTGACCTAAACTTTTCTAAGCTTTGAAAAAAAAAAAAAAAGTATTCACTTTTCTTTATTATTCTTTTGTTTTGCAATTAAGATTTTATTTAAAGGTACAATTATTCATTAGCTACAGTTATTCATTCAAAGTTTTAAAAGTGCAGAATGTTGTAAGAAGGACTACTGTTATCAGTACAAACACAAAAGTACATTTCTTTCCCTTTTCCTGAACTGAGCTTTCTAATAGCACTTTTTTTTTTCTTTTTTAATTCTTTTTACTGTTTCCAGTATAACCAACAGCATACTGTGTAAGTTTCTACACAGTTTTTTGTTTTCTATGCATCTTGGCCTGGAATGTTCAGTTACAGATTTCCCGATAAAGACTCCAGCTGACAGCTAGCAATTTGGCCAGTATTTCTCAAAAAAATAGGTATATAAAATCACGTTCTAAAACCAAACGGAAGTGTGTAAGGGGTCTGATTCTCAAAAAACAAGAATTGCTTGTTGCTCAGAAATTTTGAAAATTAAACTATGTTCTTTAGTGCTTTACTGTGTAATACTTTTAGATACCTATTTTTAAGTATTTGCCTCAATGGGTGGGATACTTTTGTGTTTGAGTTGCACACATTTGGCATGTGGTGTGCAAAGGAAATACATACCTTCTCCATTTATGTGCTGGCTGGGCAACTCTTTGCATATGCGTAACAAGTCCAATATTTGCTTATGCAGACATTATATAAGTACAATTGTAACTGCTGGCCCAATCCTCCATTGCTTTTAAATTATGCAGACTGGGAGCCTGGCACTTCCAGATGTGCTAGACTGGGTTTTACACACCCTGTGGACTTGCTCTGAGTCCCATGGGTTTGGACACAGCTGTAAGGCGGTGGGGAATTGGGCTCTAGGATATTGTATGAGAACACTTCTATTTAGAAAATCAACCTTCTAGAAAATCAAGTCTCCTGCATTTCAGTCCACTATAAAGCACCAGCGTGCCGCAGAGCTGACTTGAAATGACCCATAATGGACTAGCCATGGGGCAGGGTACCGGTCAGGAGATACCGTAACATCAGGCATTTCACAACAGAGCTGGACCTTGATCCTTCCAAAGTTCAGGCAAATAAATGAGATGCTCAAATTAGGAGTCTAGCTCCTTCACTGCAGTCACTGTCAAGAGACATATAGCTTTAAAAAGAGATTGAGTTTCTGAGACATTAAGGAAACAGGGATTCTAACAGTTAAGCACGATTAATCCAAGCCTTAGAGCCAAGAACATGCAAAAGTGAAGTGTCACAGAAGGACATAAGACTGTGGCAAGCGCTGTCTGGAGACTGCTATTCAGTCGTTTGATTTTTCTGCACATCTGCAATTACTGATTTCAAGTGGGATTGTTGGAGGGGATCTACTTTTCGTGACAGCTGCTGTTTGTGCAGCGGTTCAAACCCAACTGCAGTCAGGATATATTAAAAATGGAATGAGTAAGCTGCTCTGGAGAGTGACTTCCATCATTATAAACTAAAGAGGCTTGGATTAGCATTTGAACTTTTTGAATGCTTATTCTAATTAAACCACAGAATCTTCTGAGAGCTTCATCCATCACTAATTAAGACATGCAACCATTTATCTGTGGTTCATCCGTGCACTTAGCAGTTTGTGCTTTAGTGGGACTTAGCAGTGCAAAGTGTCTGCGCTGGGCTAAATGCCACTCAGAGCAACACACGGACTAATGAACTCTGCACTTTTATATTAACCGTCTTACCCCTTCCGTACTCAGGAATACTAGTGTGGCTTCAGATGTGGAGCTAAAACAAATAATCCACTTCAAAAATAAACTGCCCTAGGAAGTATCTTTGAGCTTTTTAATGTTGAATTAAATATAAAAATAAAAACACGTGAATGCAAATAACTCTTCCTGCAAAGAATGCAGCACAAACTTCCGAGTGTTTTGGTAGTACCTGAGAGCTGGGATATAAAACTGCCTGTAAACAACAGTGAATCTGTCTGGCAGCTCTGTTTTATTTCTCTCTCTTCTCCATCTCCCCCAGTACAAATTAATAAATATTGATGAGAAAGAGAAGCAATAAGACTTATCTATTAATTTCTCTCCTTTTATTTTCTGGACATGCTTAATTTAAAAGTGTGTTGGGGTTACCTTTAGTCATATATATGGCTGTTTGAGCCTTTTATTAGCCATGATTCATTCTGCATATCAGCACAAGGTGGTGATCATGCTTTCAGTCTGTATCTGTTCCATGATGCTCGGTTATCTGTCTGCCCCTGAGCTATCGGTAGGTATGGATTTGCATGTACACTGTTGTCCTATGACAATAGTATGCCAGGAATGACCGGTCTGGTATTACCTGGTCAGGTGAGGTTCCATTCAAATAATGTACATGCCACCAAAACAATTCAGATCAAAGGTCTGTCTTTCAACAGAATTAAAATGTACGGACTTCTAAAGCAATTTTAGCAGTTGGCTTTACAAATGAACTTATGTCAGCTGCTCTGTATGATGACTGACTAAATTACTTATATATCTAATCTTATCTAGCTATCTGTCTGTCTGTTTTTCAGCATTTCAGTACCCATCACCATATTATCTAGGCGCCACCATAAGATTAAGAAGCTCTGTAGTGACATTCTCAACATGATCTGCTCAGAGGTCATTAGCAGCGCCTTTCATACTGGCAAGGATCGGAGGAGAGCAAGGAAGTGCGCAGCAGCAGGAGAGAAAAAGGAAAAGAGGCGGTAAGCAGTTGGAGCCATTTTAGTTGTGCTCATCCTGTGTGGCTTGCTTAGCTAGTACTGAAATGTAAGAACCTCATGTCAGCTGTCTTTATTTTGATATGAGGACTATAGTACTTGTTGTTACACTACTGTTACATCAGAAAATTATCTCACACAGCCTCCAGATTGCTGTCCCTGTGCTTTCTTCAGATGCTGTTTACCTGCTTGGTCTTCATGATTTCCGTATATTACTGCCTCAGAGCAGGGTACGTCTCTCAAAAATTCCTAGTAGAGAGCAAGCACTGCATCTCAGAGAACCACCTTCTCCAAACTAATATATTAGCTAAGGTTTTATTTTTAGCTTAGCATGTGGATCCTACATACAGCTTGAGCTTGGAGAAGGAAAAAAGGTGTTTTTTAATGTCCACAGAGTTACACAGGACCCATGGACTCAGGAGAGATAATTTTGTCCCACGAGACCCAGTCTTGCTTTCACTGAAGTCACCTGCTGTAGGCTCTCTGATTGCCATGGGCGCACACTGAGGACTGTCTGGGGCACTTGCATTTTAGAAGGGTGACACTGGCTCTACTGTGTGTGTTCACTGATGCAGTTTGTTGCTACCGTTTCAAGAAATACACTGGTAAGTGAAAAAATGGCCAAAGCTCTTTATTTCATTGCTGCAACTAGGAAGCTGATTCAGTCCCGAGGAGGCCAATAGCAGTATGCTGATACACTCAAAAAAATTTCTGGGTGTCCTTTGTACCCCTTTTGGTACAAAAACATGGGGATTTACACTAGGGGATAAATAGGTGGTTCCAAAGCAAGAAGGAAAGAGCCAAAGTTGGAAGCTAACCACAATACGTGGGTGTAAGCGATTACCAAAGGCTTCCAGTAACTCTGCTATCATCAGAGACTGGCTTTATGGGTATGGCCTCAAGAAGTTTCCCTCCACTTAATTAAAGAGGCAGATAAGTATCTAGGTGGAGTGTGCAGATAGGTTCTGAATGAGTTATCCACTAAGGCTGGTTCGCTGCACCTATTGTTAAAGCCAAAATATAATATCAGATTAATGCATTATATTTGCCTATTATAGCACTATGTCATCATTATATGACATGTTATAATTAAAGCTCTGCGTTAGAAACAAAACTATTTGGCTTGGGATAAGTTGCCTTTATGACTTCTGTGGTTATGATTTCCTCCTTTTCTTAACCCCTTAAAACTGCATAATATAGCTATTTGTAACTGTATAAAGAAAGTTTCTAGTTTCAGATTCTAATCTCAGGTAATTCAATGTAAATAAAGTCAAAATCTGGCAGATAGGCTTTTCCTGTGTCTGAGTATTTGCTAATAGAGGGAAATGCCACGCTGCCCGGGTTGAAGGAGTCACAAAGATGGGCATTAGATTAAATACGAGCACACACAACTCGCCATCTAGCCCTCATAGTCTGTCCACATCAGTTCCTGATTATGTACAATTCCCCATTACTTTTTAGGAGAAGAAGCCTAATGCTTTTACTCTTCTTTTTCCTTCCTGGAACTACAGGAGGTAAAAATTGGTTATTAGACTGGTTTCTGGACCTAGCTCTCAGGAAACCATGCTCACGAATGCAAATCTGCAGAATGGGTGTGTGATTGCATGCCTAACTCGGAGATACGATTTAAGATTACAGTTTGGGTAACTGACTATGCTAATGTGTTTAATTAGTGATTTGCATATGCAAGCTTTTAAATTTCAGTAGTTGGTGATTCATGCATTTAAGTGCCAACCTTAGCCTTGCTGTCAGGTTTAGGTAGACAGTGTGCCAGCAGTACCCCCTATCTCCCACATCAAGTGCACAGGGCAAGTATTGTCACCACTCAAAAGGTAATTTCCTGAAAATAGTCAGGCCTAGTCTATTTGAGAAGCAAACGTGCTGTGGGGTTATGAATTTTCCTGCTGTTGTTTGGTAGCAGCTTTTATTATTTAATATTTTGCAATACCCTTATATAAATCTAATTGATGTCTTTTATATTAGTAACCAAACTTTGCATTTGTTTAGTTTGGAGATGACCACCTTAATAAAGGTTAATTATGAGAAGACGGTTACCAATAGCTAGGGGTGATATCCCACTGTCTTAGTCAATCGGTGAGAGTTTATTCTGTTGCTGCAACGCTGTTAACTCAATAGTTTGCTTCCTAATTCGTGGGTGACCTTTCGCCTAGACTTGGACAGAGCTGGGTTTGGCCTTGGTAACTTGCTTGTGCAGTTTTAGGCTTTGAGCACGCCAAGCACTATTTTGTTATTTCTGTTTCACACACATCTTGGAAATGCATGTTCACTTCACGCAGGAAGGCCCCAGGTATAAATGCCAGATTTCTCAGGTCATCAGTCTGGGATATACGTGGAATTTGGATTTATAAAGCTTGCTGGAGACACATTTTTAGCATTTCATCTAAAATAAGAACATTCTTAAAGCGAAAAGTAAATAATGTAAAAATAATAATATGCAACAAGGTGATTTTTTTTTGCACAGAAAAGTTATTTCGTCAGCTTTTGCTGTTGCTAGCCTGGCCCCGGCTCAAGATGGACCTGGCTTCCCTGCACAGCTGCTTGCTCACACGGGTAAGTCACTAAACTTGATCCCACTGTGACTGCTCCTGTTTGCACGGAAAGGAAGCTCTGAAGGGATGACTCAGAGGGCAAAATGGGATGGAATGGGCCACACATGGGCATTCCAGAGGAGCGTGTTCTCCTCAGTGGTGATTAATTTTCTGCTCTGCAAAATACTTAACAATACAAAACACTGGTAATTTCTTCATTCTTTAAACATTTCCATCAGTCTCTTAAAGGTGCTTTTATGAAGTCCATTCTGTCCTTTTCCATGTTGATTGATGAGTCAGACCTAATTACATCGACAATTTATTATCATGACATGTTGTCCCTGAGTAGCATGTTATTACATACTTAGTAAAACTGCAGCCATACCCACCAATATCAGGAATTACATACTGTCAAGGGGAAGGGAGTTTGAAAGGAAAATGCTGAGGAGTCAGAGAAATTCTGTGAACACAGAGCTCAGGTTCCAGGAGAGGAAAAGGAAGATAGTACCCAACTTTAGGATCATTTCAAATACCTTAAAAAGCATGAGGCATGATGAAAAGATGGCCCCTGCAGACGATTTCATCATGAGGGATAGGCTTCTGTACTCTACGAGTCAGAAAATTACTTTCTAATAGCATCTGCCTATTTTACATACATAATGAGCCAAATTTGGTGTGGTCATGCTGCTGCCTGGGGAGTGTTTGGAGTGAGGGACAATTGTGCTTCCAGTCATTTTCACCAGAAGACTGTCCTAAAGAGTGCACACTACAAAAATAACTGAAGGCTTTCCCTGGTGAACTCATTTTCATTTTTAGCATTTAATACAGACTAAGTAATTGATACATGGCATTATTGATGTCTCTTATCTCATATTTCACACTTCTTTAAACAAATAACACCTGAAACACCCGGCTCTATTCTCTCACATCCAGGAAGTGTCTTTCTGCGCAATAAAGAAGTGAAGCATTGACGGGTGAGGTAGCTTATCCAAAAAAACCAAGTTTGAAACAATGCCAGAGACAGGACTATACTTTCTTTTTCCCAGACTCAGTAGGCCGTCATTCCTGCCTAGTTATATGGGGCAGAGCAGTGGAGGCTGAAAAGCAGCTACCTGGGTATAACATGAAGCACAGGACCAGTGCAGCGTGCCCCTGTACCACACCAGGGCCCCCCATCTTGCTTGGCTGTGTACTGAGACCAAAACCCTCCGGAGATCCCAAGCTAATGTTCAGTCCCTGCGGGGAGGCTGGACAAGGACTCAAATTAGCTCAGAGTGTAAGTTCTGTGAAGTGCTTATTTGGAGCTCACTTTTATCCCTTTCCTCCCCTCAAGACATTGCGGCAACTGTCAGAGGGAAGAACCTCACACTGCATTTATAATGCTGATAGCAATGGGCTTTTCTGTCCTAAATTTGTGCACAAGTGATTTGGTTACAAACAACTGTGGATGTTGATGAGCTGTGGATGCAGGAGGCAGAGTCAGTCAGAGTTACCAGGACATGAGAGTAAAAGGCAGCATTCCTCCCAGGCGACTTTCATAGAATCATAGAATATGACTTTTATGCACTATTAAATGTATTTGACGTGGATAATTAATTTTGCCATTTGTCCACTTCCTACCCAAGTGCCAATGAGAAACCCTTCTCAGCATAAAGCCTGTTTTGAAGCAAGGGATGCAACGGCCTGAAATGCTGGTGTCTGAAATCCTTGTTTTACACCAGCAGAGCCTAAATGCTAAATGGTGAGAACAGGGAAGCAATATGGGGCTGCTGGGAGGTGGTCCTCACCCTCCTCTTCTCTGACTGCACATGAGGATGAAGTCAGCTTCTGCCATACATCCACAGGCAGAAGCACTTCCTGCAAAGATAACTTTTCCTTGAGGAAGAAAACCAACCCTATAATTTCTGGACATTGGAGTAAGCAAAATAACCCTCCAAATGGGAGCAGCCTGCAAAGAACAGAACAGTGTTTGCCTCAGTGTGCAGAAATCAGGAATTAATAAGCCCAAGAGGTCTATATTGCCATCTCCCTTATAGGAATCTGTTGATCAGGAGATTAGGAAGGCACTACCCTGAGAGCGCAGCTACTACCTTGATTAGCAGTTTCATAGTCTCGTAAAAGGCACCTCGTTTTGCTCTCCCATGTAGGTGGAGCTTTGTTGGCAGGTGGAGCGTAGGAAAGGATTGCCAGTATTTTTTTTTCCCACCTCTAATCCTGCACTGAATGCCTAAGAGGAGCTATTGCAGAGGAGGGGTGCTGCCGAGGGCTGCCGGCTGCGTCCCCCTGCTCCGTGGGCTCCCTGAGATGCAGTCGCTGCTAGAGGAGGGGACACAGACACGTTACGGGGTGTTTGTCCCTGAGCTGCCCTGTGCTGGAGAATGCTGCCCTGCTCCTGCCTGTCTGGGGACGGCTGGGTACCAACCTGCTGCTGCCCTCTGCTACCCCTGGTTAAAGCAGGATTTTGCCTCTTTTTTTTTTTTTTTAAGAGAAACCTTGTAGTTTTACCTGTCACTGTAAACTGACTCTAATGCCAGTAAAGCACGCCTAATTGGCAGGATTTAGAGACTGATCATTTCAATTTATGCCCAGAACAGGTAGGGCAGCAAAGAAAGCCTCTCCCACCCAACCCCACCCCTTCTCACCAAAGTGCCTCAACCCTGCCCTGAAGGGACCACCTGGAGGGCTGAGAAGGGAGTTCCCTCCCTGCGCGCAATAAAAAGGCACAGTCCTACAGTAAATACCAGGGTAAGCTTATGGCTGTTTAATAGTTAGTGTACCTCTGGTAATAAAGCTCTGGCAGGGCTCGTGCAGAAGAGCACCTGCTAGTGAATCAATGCAAAAGCAGGAGCCATTGGATAAGTCTTTGCCTTCAAAAACTTGGCAAAACCCACCAGAGGAGAATTTTCACTTCATGTTACCGTGAGGTCAGTGAGAAAATAGTTCAGTGCCCCTAGTGTGTCTGTTGGAAACAGTTCCCATCACTGCCACAGCCTGCAATAGCCTTCCCAGAACCAGGCGCTGGTTGGTCTCACTTCCTTCTTTTAAAGCCTCTTTGCCCCATGGAGATCTGCCTTTTAGTCCTTTTTGCCAAACCCTTTCTAATCTGCCAGCCTCACTTGTGAACCGTATCCCCTGCAACCAGGCACAGGATTGTATTGCAACAGGTTTGTTTGCATCATGCTCACCCATTCCAGGTGCCTCATTCTCCGCAAGCCAAAATCCACAGGAGCTAATTCTGGAGAAAGGCACAGCTGACCCAGATTTGGTACAGACAGAGGAAGAGAAGTACCAAGGAGTAGTGGTTTTCCCCTGTAAAGTGGGAGTATCTGTTCATCTAAATAAAATGCTCTGAAAAGAAAAAGCAAACAGCAAAGCCCTGTGCAACCACCGTGTCGCTCTGAGCCTTCAGCAGACCCGTCTTATGCAATTGCAGAACTAAAATAAAAATAACATTTTCCAGTAGCCATTAGTGGCACTCAGATTGCCCAATGCAGGCATCATTGCTTTTCTCAGCGTCTGCTTTATCAGTTGCCTTCCAGCCTGTAGAAGTCCCTGGTTCTTGGCAGCGGCTCCTGCTGATGTGGAGTGGGTTGTTGCCTAAGAGTGCTTTGATCACCAGCCAGGTACTAACACCATGCGTTGGAGCAGTGGCTTGCCAGCCCCGGCCAGCAGACACACTGAATGGGCTCCTTCAGCACAGGAGGAGGAAACCAGGATTCATTTTGGCCCATCTGGGTGCATCTCATTCAGCATCTTTTGAACACCCAGAGTTTCTGCCATGTTTTCTGTGCCAGCGGCACAGCTGCATCACAGCAGTGATCCAGAGGCCAGGTAGCTATCCGTGCCTGGGACTGGAATGGTGTGTTTCAGCAGAGCACTTGGCACATCCAAAACTTGCAAGCTGGTGTTCAGCTTTGTTTTGCTTCTGCTCAAGTGCTTTGTTACACTGGGACCCACTGGTAGCTGTTAGAGCACAGGCAGTGTCCCACTAGTTATATTTTCCTTCTGTCCTGAGGAGTACAAAAATGCTGAAGCCACCATCATCACCTTTTGTATGGGAGGGGATAGCCAGATCAGCCCAAGTGCCTGGGTAGCTCTGTAGAAATTGGATATACGACATGAAAGTGCTCAAAATTTCCTGGGGCATGTGGTGTAAAACAGAGGAAGGCACAAAAGTCTTCCCAGAGACACAGTGATCTCAGATCCATGTATATACAGATCCATGTAAATGCATCCATGTAAATACCGATCTGTGCATTTATCATTACTCATGGGAGTAATAACAGTTCCACTGAAATCACTGCAGCTACATGTATAAAATGAAGCACATATGTAAGATCAGGATCTAAATATATAATAGGCAAATACACCTGCAGCTATGGCAACTGCGCGTTAGAGATGCACATATGTGCACACAGTTCCTAGTCCATTTAGGGGCTAACTATCTAAAGATATATGATAAACTGGTGAGAGGACCAGGACCAGAAACTCTGTCCTTCCATTCTCATGCTTTCGCTAAAGCTCGGTATTTATGCCTTGCTGCTTAATTTCTGTCAGAGTTCTGCATTCATTAACTCTGCAGCTATATAATTTGCTTTGAAAGTGTTTAAGGACACTGCGAACCCCATAGCTAAAGTCCTGCATGAAGGCCTTCTGCCTCCCCTCCTCCTCCTTCAGATCTGGGGACTCAACACAGCAGTCGGAGCTGTTCTTAACTTGGAGCAGAACAATGTTTTCTGCCACCATGAGTGGGCATCAGGAACACATCAGCGAAACCACAGTGCTGCTTGGAAGTTATCTGTCTTCATTGAGCTGGTGTAAAAGCCAGCTTGCATGCAGAAGTTAGGCATAAGTGGCTATGGTCCAGCTTGCATTCCTGTAAGCAATCAAACCCCTTGATGATTACTCTTTTTTTTTTTTTTTTTTTTTTTTTGTGTAATTCTACTCATCTCATTGTGCGAAGTTATCCCACAGATTTTGTTCTGCTTCTTGTACGTTTAAACATTAGACACACTTAAGTATCTCGATGAATTACATTCTAGGTTCCCTTTCTGTCCTTTTGTATTTCAGAAAACAATAGAGGCAGAATCCGTGTCCTCCCTGTTCCCTGGAAGACACCTAGACTCGGAGAAATGTGGCGAATTGCAGTCAGAAACATCCACCCCCGAGTTATTGTCTAGATGACAGAGGCTGGGGAAATTAGCAAAACAATGTTTCTGCTAGCTAGCCACCAGTGCTCTCTCCTTCTGCTTCTCAAACCGGCTCCAGGCACTTTCTCTTGTTCTTGTGATTCCCTTCCTGAATTACTTCAGCCAAGTAATTGTTTCATCATGTTGCACAGAAATATTTTCCCATCGTGTCACCGTGACATTCATTTCTAAAAGCAAAGCCTCTCTGCTCACTTACACAAAATATAAATCAAGCTCACAAAACTTTTGTGGACCTGGATCACAGGTGAGCTAATGTAGGAGGGGAACACAGTCAGTGGATGAGGCATTAGAGGGATTTTTGCATTGTTTGAAGGAGACAGATTCCTGTTACTGTAATTTCTAGACAACATCAATGAGCTACCTACCACAGGCTTAATGAAGTGCTGTTGCAATGGACTAGCAAACGCAAGGTATTTATAGAAAACAAACCAGCTGTTGCGCTTCTTTTATGTGGGGGTAGGGACCATAAGCTTTCGTAGCCTCTATCAAAAACTCGGCTCCTTACTCTGCCTGGCATGATGTTCAAGCCCATCAAAACAAGGTCTGCTGACAAAGCCAGCACTTCTGTTGTGTGCTGTAGGGAGGGAATGCGTGAGTTCTGAGATGATTTATTATTCTGCAAATTGTATGAAATTGTGAGCCCTAACTAAAGCCTCTGATTTAAATATGCTGGACTCTGAGAAAGTGCTTTGATAGCTACGTAATGTGTGATACAGAGGCAGGAGCAGATGGGACAGGGAAAGGCAAAAAAAATGATGTAGATCAAAGCCTTCCTTAGACTGTAATTAGCTAGAAAATATTATTGGAATTAAATACCCCAAATTTGTGGTGGCTTCAAAACAAATGAGGGTTAAATTTGGCTCTGCTCTGTGAAAACTGTGACAACCAGTCAGAAGGTTTGGAACCAAATGTGTCCCTCTTGTAAACACAAATCAGTTAGTTTCAGCAACTATTAACCCATTTATCTGAGTTGGGAATTCCAGCCCTTTTGTTTTTCACATCCATCCACATCTAACCACCAACATTTGTAGGAGGGGTAGAAAGCCCTTTATTCAAAACAGAACAGTCAAACAAATTAGCAGGTAAGAAAACAATCACAAAGGGATTTTAGTTCCCGGTAGATAGAACTACCCAAATCAGAATCGGAGCTGTGCTGAACTTGAGAGCTCTTCTTTACTGAGGCTTAGGACTCAAATCCCACAGCAGTTGTGCTCCCGGCTGCTGAGCTGCAGGGTCTGGTATCACTGCAAAGAGAAACTGTCTTGGGATTTCACATAGTTTTGCATCAGGCTTACACTGCATCATTCATCTCACATGGTCCTGATGTCAATGCGCGGCTATTTCCAGGTGCTTACATATTCCGCTGCTCAGCTGCCCAGGCTGGGTCAAAGCAGGCCTCAATTCACATGATAGAATCAGAAACCTCCAAAAATCACGGGATATTACCCAAGTTTACAGCTTGTACAAAGTTTAGCTTTCTGCTGAAAGGATTGAACTTTCAGAATATGTTTTGGGTCCCAGCAAATAGTTAAGTAGAACTCCATTCTTTTAATAATTTCACTAGTCTGTTCAGGGTGCATCGCCCAAAAGAAGAGCCAGTTCCCTCACGTATTTAATGTACAGATAGTGCCACTTGGTTCTACTTTTACTTTACTGAGTAGTTAAAAACAGAACAGACTTGTTTCCGTGGGAGTAGTTCATTATATGCCTAGTTTCGTTTAGACTTCTTGATTGTATTAGGATCCTTGCAACATACATGCATAGGTTTACATTTTTCTTAACACTTCACATTAATATATGAGTTTTGCCCTAAAATTCTGACTACTAAGCATGTGCACAGAGATAAACACGCAAAAAAAAAAAAAAAAAAAAAAAAAGGCTAACCTGCAGGAGAGGTTTTTTTTTTTTTTTTTTTTTTTTTTCCTTAGTTCTTAGTAGGAAAAAGAGAAGCAGATTCATCATTACCCCATCCACCACATGATCATCTCTAACCAGAACAAACCGAGTGCAAAACCCTGCTGGTCTAATTTGGTGGTGGTTTAGTTTGTGTTGCTCTGAGTAACAGGAAAATGCAAGACAATACTTATTGTATCTTAAGTGATACCATTATAAATGACAAAAGAAGATGTGTAATTTGGCCTCATATACATTTTTGTCTTTATTAAAGCAGATACTAAGTTGCATTGACTTTTATTCTTGTCACAGCTAAGGAAACATTGCTTGAAAACTACCTAGTACGAGAGTAACTTCATATTTTCATACACATCCACATCAATAACAGTTGGTCTAGTGAGGAAATTGTAAAGGTAAACACTTCACAAAGTTTTTTTTTTTCAGGTTGTAATTTTGATAGAAGAAGGCTATAGCAAGAATGAGGAAAAAAACAAAATGTGATCGAGTCTCCCAGCCCAGTAACCCGTTGGTGCAATTTGGGTGATTGTATTTCATAGAAGATAAACAATTAGTATAGAAACAAGTGTAAATTTTCCTGCATCTTCCAAGAGTCAATAAGGGAAGGCAGCGGGCAAAGTGTCAGAGCAACACCACACAATGCCAGAGCTGTATGGGGCTATACATGCTTTGGACAGATAAGCAGAGGCTAGCAATTGCTATTAATAGACAGAAAACCCACTAACAAAATAATACTTATGTTTTTTAAATATTTTGGCTTAAAATTATACATATGATTCCTTTTGCAGAACTAAGCACAACTGAATTTGAATGTTAGCAAATGATGAAACGGTGCTAGGTGCTTTGGATGCCAGTGCTAGGGATGTGGTCTTACAGACTTATTTCTAAATAGGAAGAAACTCTGTTATTTTGGTAGTAACAAGAAAGATCTGTCTGAATCAGTCAATGTAGCATTCAATTTGAAAGGGGAAAAACAACCCCGAACCAAATGACGTTTATAAACTTCCATAAAATTCAAAACAGACTCATGGCATAAAGGCCGTAACTCCTCGGCGTGGTTTACCTGCAGGTAGCCTGCAAAGTCCTACCGCAAATTGCCCTGAGTCACTTTAGGAAGAGAAGCTAAAGAAACCTTGTGAGAAGACAACTGAGATGCACCAAGTACTGCTTTCAGTCAACCGAATCTTGCTTGTAATGGGAAGCTATATCAATATTTGGAGCCGAGCCCCTGTTCAGACAGGGATTTTCCAATGTCCCCACCCCCACCCCTGTAATTAGAAAAAATATTTGGACTCTTTTGTCTGCTTTAGTACTAGAATTAGTGCTCAGATTCATTTCCAAGCTACTTTTTCCCAAACTGTTTCCAAACATTATTTTCTAGGAAATGTTTTAATTCCAGGGGCTTTTTCATATGCTTGTTTATAAAGTGGGGTATTTCATGACCTCTATGCATTTAATCATGCTAGAAAGCTCCTAAAATGTAAGTTCTGTAGCTGACAGAAGATTAAGAAAGAAGGAGTCAGGAATTCTCTGACTCTTCCAGGTTCCTTCTGAGACTAGTGTAAAATCAATGCATTTGTGCTCTCGGTTTTCCTCTCTGTAACCGCGTCCTTTTGACAAAAACTCATTGCTGCACAGGTTTCTTCCTGAATGAGAGATCTTTAATCCAAATGAAGAGATACATGGCAATACAGCAGGAATTTAAACATTCTTTAAATTGCAGCAGCGCTGCCCTGACTCTCCTGGAGCAGGCAAAGTTTAAGGACGGGGATTAGCTCATTCGTGCCTGACAGAGCTCTATCTCCAAAACTGGACTATTATTTAAACAAATATAAATACCTTTAGTACATCTTATCTTTCAATCTACCCTGCCTCCCAGCCCTCATAAACTGAACTTTTGTTGGAAGCTTTGTCATTTATAAAGAAAGAAAGAAATGTATCTGAGGACATCTTCAGTCCTGCAGCAATTCTGCCCTCAGCAGTACTCAGCTCCGACTGGGAACGCAGCTTGTGAGTTTGGGTAACATTACATGGCCTACAGCACAACAAGAAAATAGGATCTAACGATGTGGATAAGTTTCGTAACTAGAAGAATAGTAGAATAAACAGCCACAGGAGGCTGGAGAAATCAGCGTCACGAGGGACAGTCAAGACAAGATCTAACGTCTATCCTGCCTGCAAGAACTTGAGTCAAGCCGGTGCAGGAGCTAGCTCACCCGAGAAAATCGATTCTTAGGGTCTCATAAAACCAACTGAACTGTGCTGTCCGAATTAAAACAGCAGAAATCTGTAACAGGTCTAACACTTTGTGCTTACAGTGCCCAGCTCCTAGCAGGAGCTGCGGAGGCACTGCGGGAGCAGGGGACGCACAACAAATTTCAGGAAGAGCTCCGGGAGTTTGCCCCGCCAGAGGAAGGTATGATCTTAAGTGTCAAAAATGCACAACAGTTCTTTCAGTAGAAAACACACTTTGCTTTGAGAAACATTAGAAATAAACAACAAATTTGATATTTGTCCTGAAATCTGCTGCTTTTTGCATTAGAATGTATAGCAGCCAATTCCAATGCATTGGCTCGATCCAGAAAAGCCCTTCTGTATTCAGCTGTCCAACAGCACAGACAGTTAAGAAGTTTCTGTTCGGAGGCACTCGTCTTAAAAACTTAGTGCTTAAATTTGGCCTAACAGGAAAATGGAAAATGCTGAGTAAGAGCTGATCATTTTCTCAACTCCCTGCGCGTAACCAGCTCGGGACTGTTAGCTGCTCGCAGAGCTGCGTGCGGCAGCGAGCAGCGGGGGCTCGGGAGCCGTGCCGAGCCTGGCTCCTTCCATCAGAGGCAGAGCCCCAGCTCCCCTGGGAACAGAGGTGTAGCCCAGCACCAGCTTCCTCCTTCTCTGCCCCCCAGCTTATCTGCCACTGTCCCCCAAGCACAGAAGCACAGAAACAAACACCTCTCAACAGAGAAACTCCATCTACAGTTTTTTCGGAAAATGTCTCAAGAGAAAGGATAAGGGAGCTGTTCGTGTGCCTCTCACCTGGCCGGCTGCAGGAGAGCTTCCTGAGCAGTGACCGAGTTACCAGCATCCAACAGACATGCTACTTTCTGATGTTTGTTCCTGTAAACTACAAACATAAGAAAGGCTGAATCATAGCTTAGAGAACAGAAACTCCTTAAGGAAAAAATAAATAAATTAATTAAAGCTTCCTCCCTTACTTTTTCTTCCTCCCTCCCACTTCAGAGTCGGAGTTACTTTGCCAAGGACCGGCCCCGGTTTGGACAGCACACCTCGCTCTACACGTTGGGAACAGCAAGAAGTGCAAAATCCGAAAACGCCAAACAACCACCTCCTCCCCACACAATACCCAAGCGGCAGCTAAAGCAAGTGATTAGAGGAAATAAAATGAGGCAACAAGAACTGGCTGAAGCTTCCAGCCCTGCTCTTTGCTGGCTTTCTCTTGGGGTTTTTGTTTTTGTTTTTCTCTGAGTCACAGAGAAAGTGAAAAGACCAACAGAAATCCTGCTCCCTGATCACAGCACCGAGCCAGATGCAGCTAGAGTTTCAGCTCTGCCTTTAAGCTAGCTTCAAACGTGCCTTCCAAATAAAACAAGCTACTTTTTTTAACCTAGTCATAAAGTTTATTAAAATTGTTCATTAATGCTTCAAACGTAGCAAGAATGCATAGATCCCAAAATATACATATGTATTTTCTTATAGAAATAGATTATTCTTTATAATAAAAAAAAAAACAAACGTAGGAACATCTTTAACAGATTACTCAATCCATGACTGACAGTTACACGAGATTGCATCATGTACGCAGCATTCCCAGCCATGCTTCAAGGATTGCATCACTTCGCCCTGCTCTCCTCTCGCTGTGTTAAATACCCCCAGCGCCCAGCAGCCCGCAGAGCCCCGCGGCCGCCGGCCCCCGACCCCCGACCCCCGGCGCGCCCCCGCGCCCAGGCGGCCTCACCGGGCCCCTCCGCCGACGCGTAAATAAAGAGCAAACCGAGCAGAAAACCCCGCCGAGCCCGGGGGGAGCCCCGGGGGCACGCTGCGAGCCCCCAGCCCCGGGCTCCCCCGGCATGGGGGGTGGGGGGGGGCGCAGCGGGGAGCCGGCCACCGGCGCTCCCCTCCGGCCGGCCCCGGGGAAAGGGGGTCAGCAGCGCGGCGAGGAGGCGAGCAGGGGCTCGGGCAGCTGTTTGAACAAGTTCCTGAGGGTGCTGAGCTCCCGGGAGAGCTGCTCCACCTTCTTCTGCAGCCGCTCGTTCTCGGCCGTCAGTTCCAAGACTTTGTGCTGCGTCTCCAGGTTGCGCATTTTGGCTTTGTCGCGGCTCTTGCGCACCGCGATGTTGTTCCTCTCCCGGCGCAGCTTGTACTCGTCGCTGTGCTTGTCCACGCACTTCTTGGGCTTGTTCTTGCCCGCGGGGGGGGCCGAGTAGCCCCCGCCGGCCGCGGCCGACTTGGAGGACTCGGAGGGGTTGGGGGTGCCGGGGGGGCTGGAGGAGGACGAGGTGGACAGGTTCCCGCTGCTGCCGCTCGGCACCGACTGGTAGCCCAGGTAGGAGCGCACGGTGCTGCCGTAGGGCGAGGACATGCCCCCCGGTCCCGGCCCGGCCCCCCCTTCTTCCTTACGGGGCCCTTTGCAAGAGTCCAGGGTCTCGAAGACCGGCTCGGCTTTGGTCTCCACGATCTGGGGCGGGAAGCAGCCCGGCAGCCCCCCCGGCTTGTGGCTCTGGCTGCCGCACGGGTGGCCGTGCCGGCCGAGGCTGATGTAGGTGTAGTCGGGCTTCTTGCCGCCGCTGCCTTTATAGTCCTCGGCGAAGAGATCGGAAAGGAAATCTTGGCCGCCGCCGCTGCTGCACGGAGGCTCAAAGTTGCCCCCTGCTGCTGCTGCGGGAGGAGGCGGCTGCGCCGGCTGCTGGGATGCTAAGGGGTCCAGGTAGGGGCTGAAGTCGATGGCTCGCTCGTGGTCCCCTACGGTCAGCTCGGTCATGGAGCGGCCCCCGGCCGCCCGCGGGTGCAGCTTGTTGAGAGCAGCCAGACAGTCCGCCTCGTAATAGAAATTCGCCACTTCCATGGATTTAAAGGCGGGCGGCTGGATGGGGAGGCATGCTGCGTCCCAGGCCACCAGGCGTTGCATGAAAGCAAAGGGGGATGCGGGGAGGAGAAGACGGCGCAGGGGGCCCCCCCGGCAGAGGATCGAGCTGCCGCCGTCGGGGTGGGGGGCTCCGGACCCTGCCTCGGGCTCCGGCGCTGGGCACCGCGGCTGCTGCGCTGCCCCCCCCGGCGCCGGCTCAGTCCCTGCGGCTCGGCGGGGCTCTGCCGCTCCGGGTGCTGCGGCTGGAGCTGGCGCTTCTCCTGCGGACCATCTGGTTGCGGGGCCCGCGTCCTAAAAGCCTCTGCCTTAGGAAAGTTCCTCCGCTCGGTTATTTATAGGGGCGGCCGATCCCATAGCAACAGGCGCGTCACCGCCTGGCCGCCTGCCACGCCGAGCTGCCGCCGGCCCCGGCCCGCGGGTGCGGAGCGGGTGCGGAGCGGCTGCGGGGGCCGGCACCGCCGCCGGGACCGCCCGGAGCGGGGCTGGGACCGCAGGTGCCCCCCGCTCCCTGCCCGGCCCCGGGGAGGGGGCAGCGATGGGCCCCGGGGGGGTGCGGAGCAGCCCCGCACCCTGCGGGGTGCGCGCGTTTGGGGACGCAGGGGTGCAGCGCTCCCCGCCCCGCCGGGCTCTGTTTGCCCCCGGGGAAAAGCAGGCAGCGAGGGGTTATTCAGCTGGCTGGTTTGGCTTTTTCCAAGCTCTTTTGGCAAAGCGGGGGAGCGCTGCGAACGGAGGGCAGAGCGCGGTGCTCGCCGTGCGGTGCTCGGGGGAGGAACAGCCGGCGGCAGCTCTGCGGGCAGGGGAGCGCAGCGGCGTTGTCCAGGGGCCGGCAGGGAGCAGGGAGAAGCGGCTCCGGGCTCCCTGCTCGCCGCTGGAGCAGTCACAGCAAAGCCACAGCTCCCCTCCCCAGCCCTTCGTGCCGGGATGGTGGCCTTAAAGTTTGTCTCGGCGTATTTACTTTGCACGATGTGGTGCAACTGTCAGGGTACACAAACGATAGGGGATCTGTGCCCTGGACCCAAAGGGGACCCAGGCGGTTCTGAAGCAGGCCGGTACGTGCACGGCAACATGAGAGCCCAGAGCCTGCAGAATGGCAGGGTAAGTTTGGGAAGGAAGACTGAATCTTGATGTCCGTTTTAATTAAAGACACCCACCTTGGGAATCAAACTTATATTTTCACTCTCTTACTCCCACATTTACCTGTCTACAAGCCGGTGATTCATCGCCAGAATAAAGGACATTAATTTAAAACAAAACATATAATTAAAGGAAGTAGGAGTGTCCTTCGCCTCAGTAAAGAAGACCTAGCACTGCAGGGAAAATGACACTGCCTCTTAGAATAATGTGAAGCAATCCTGCGGTGTGGGAAATATTGTAACGTTAAGCCAGAGGAACAGGTATTGCATTATACGATTCAAACAGTCAACTGTTCATAATGTTCAAACCTCAGAACTTTGAAAAGAGGAAGAATTCAGAAATCAGTCAGTGGACCATCACAATTTGTCTTTCTTGCATTTTTTTTTTAGTTTTCTTTGCCTTTTCTTCTCGCGTTTTAAAGAGATTTTTCTTTCCATAACAAAAGTACCCTAACTGGTTTTCAGGCTTCAAATATTTCTAGTTCCATCTTTATCTACCAAGTTAATCTTTGGTGAATGCACCAGAGATTAAATTGGAGCTGGGCCTGGCCAGAGATCTGGGTCTGGAGGTTGTAGCTGGAGCCCATACCTTCCTAAACACAAACATCTGTATTGGGTGCAAATACTGGCAAGTCGCAGGGAGCCGGGGCTTGTTCTCCTGGCTGTTTACCCTCTCGTTCTGTGTCTTTATCCTGCCTTCTGATCTGGCAGTTACATCCAGCGGCTGCCCTAACTGGCCCTTGCAACTGAACTCTTGAAAATCGGTCTCATGCGCTTCCTACCTCCAAAACAGCTCGGGAACCCACAAGCAGAAGGTCTCCTGCTGAAACGCCTGTTTGGTTTTTCCTGGCATTACCCTGACGGGTTGCCACGGCCACTGGCTAAAATTTAATGCTAAAACTGATTGATAAATTTGGTGGGCATTTTTTTTCAAGACACTCGTGGAGATCTGAGTTTGCCCTCTCCGAATTTCTGCCCTGTTCCCTGCAGCTCAGCGGCAGAAAGCCGTACTCCCGCCCAGGCTGATCTTCCCTAACAAAATAAAACGTCTGTGCAACTGTCATGTGAAATAGATTATATCAGGGATGGTGTGGCCCACACCTCCTTTTCCAGGCCAGTGCTGAGTAATCCCGTAGTCACTGAGATCACACGTCAGCCGGAGTGGTAATTGAGGTTGGATGCCCAGCTTGTCCCCTCCTTCCCTTCTCCCCCCTCACCTCCCTGCTGCACCGAGATCTCTTTAAACTTCCTCCAGCTCACCTCAAATCCCAACATCCACTCTCACGGAGCCAACGTCCATTCTCAGCTTCTCATGGGAACCTTGTTGGCGGGACTAACCACTCATCCAAAACCCTAACGTTCGGCAAGCAGGTTTTGAGCTAACTCCAGTCTCTTTTAAATTGTTTCTGCACTTGTCATAACAAATGCATGGCCAGAAATGGGGTTTTTGAAATGGGAACAGGTGTAGGGTGAAGCTCGCACCGCAGAGGGTTGGGTGGAGGTCTTGGCACACCGAGCTCCGTCCCTGCAAGTGCCACGGCTTGGCCTGACCAGGTGTGCGGAGGCTGCTAATGGTCCTGGAAAGCCTTCTCCACACAGAGGTGCCTGGATAGGAAGAGAGATGCAGACCTTCCTGGTGAAGGGATCTGGGTACTGGCCTCACTCTCTGTAACAGGTCTCCCGACAGAGCAGATTGCAGCAGAAAGGCAGCATTTCTATGAAAAGCACCCTCTTTTTACTGATTTAATGACTTAGTTTTTCAGAACTAGTCAGTTGGGGAAGGAGACGGCATTACTCACAAATTACTTAGTGAGAACATCAACATTTTTGAGCAGCAAAAGATGTTTTTCTGATGCAATAAAATCCAGATTCCTCTTTATTCGCGTGTGAAACAATATAGATACTGGAAGGGTAAGACAAGGATATGAAAAGAGGCAAAGTGGAGGAAAGAATTTCATTGTCACTGCTCAGTGCTGTCATGAATTAAATTCTGCTATTCTGCTCTCCAGTTTCCCTTTTGTGCTGTAGAAGCCACACATTTCCAGCTGCAGGCTCAGACCTACAATAAAGCATTGCAGAGACTTTTTTTTTTTTTTTCCTGGAAATTGTCTCCTTTTCTAGGATTTCTTGCAAATTTTCCAGTTCCCACACTCCAGGTCTATAGCAGCTGTCCCTAGAAGGACACTCACTTTGGGGTGGTGTTATTAGTTTAATGGTCACAGATCAAACACTGAAGCATTTCTAAGAAGGTCTGTGGGCTGGGGTTCGTACTCTAGATAGAGGCTGTCTATAATTTCTTATGCTTCTTGCTATAGACCCGTCTCAAGTATTATTTGCCTTGCAGCAGCTCATAGCAGATCGATAAGATCAAGGTTCCATCATGCTAAAAACCCAGTGTGAGCACAGCTGCTCACCCACAGACCTGCAGTCTGAAATGCGATGTGGAGGGGCAGAAGAGGGGCAAAGAAGCAATAGGGTAGTGCTAGAAGCTGAGCAGTGAACAAGGTGATGTAGGTGGTATGCTCAAGGTGAGCAGAGAGGAGAACGTGAAGGGTTTCAGAGCAGAGTGGTGTCCCCATGTGTGGGCACACTGGGGGAGAGCACAGGGGTGGTGTGGGAAGGTCTCAGGGGGTAGGATGTGACCTTGCCTGAAAGCCCGGCTTGAGCAATGTTGCAATAAAAGCTGCAAAATAGAGAAGTAAAATTGAAATTTATTTCTGAGCATGTTGTGTGCGCTGTTTTTAACTTCTTCCTAGCCCCAGGTCCCTCTTTATACAGCCGCACACCTTCTGCCAGCAACGACTCATAAGTTGTACCTGGCAGACGCCAGATTTCAATCTATTGCTTTCAACTTGCTCTTCTCCGCTGTTAAAAAACAAACAAACAAACAACAAAAAAGCCAGCATTTATGAAATGTCAGGCAGGGACAATGTCTCAACTCAGAGAGAGGTTGGCAGAGACAATGTCTCAACTGAGGGAGGTTGGCTCTCCTTCCATCTCCCCCAGCTCTTAGACCAGGCTGGAGACTTTGCCTCATTTTAACATAAAAAACTATTGCCACATGCCTTCTTCTCTTCTTAAACCGCAGCTGTGGTACTCTGCCTTGCAGTCTCCAGTGGCAGGGAGCTCCCCAGGCGGGTTGCAGGCTGTGTCTCCTGGCCTCCTTCGGTTCTTTTGTTACAGACCAGAGTCCTCCCCTTCCCCGAGGGCTCCCTCACCCCTCGTTCCCATGTGACTTGGGGATGCTCGGGTATTTGTTGGTCTTCTGCTGATTTTCTGCTCACCTCTGACCTAGCATGCTTGGCCTTTGCAGTGCTGGGTTGCTCAATCCCCTCTTTATCTACATGTTGCTCTTTGCCCTACCGAGTGCTGCAGAGACGACACCTGGAGATTGGCACCACTGCCTCCAGCCAGTGGGACAACATGAGCAAAATACCTTCCCCTACCAGACTCTGAAAAATTTCCAGAGCAAATTGGAGGTCAGAGCACCCACTCTGCAGCTCTGTGGAGGAAAGAAAAGGAGGGGGCGTCTGAATGCACACAAATGCCCATGGAAGGGAGCAGTGACAAAGCAGAAGCCCTAGGCGCCAGCGCTGTGTTGCAAAGTCTGTACTGAAGTCATTTGGCTGGCAAGATGTGGGTTTTCTTTCTGAGCAGGGACAGTAAGAGGTGACTCTGTGTGTTATGAGTAGCCTGTCTCCTTGCACCCTCACCACCCTCTGCTCCACCCCAAATAAATTAAAAAAGTAGAGAAGTTGCTGTCCACTAACTTTCCAGAGGTTCTCCATAGTTGTCTCACATTTCCTAGGTAATCATAATCTCCAAGCTTGATGAATGTGTTGCAGAGCACATGTTAATCCTTTTTTTTTTTTTTTTTCTTCTAGAGTACTCAGACTTTCAAAAAATCCATCAAGGGAACAGGAATCTAACCTTTTTAGGGCACCCTGACAAGTGTCAGGAGTTCCCAGGAATAGATATCAGTGATACATTAAGGAAATTTTTTAAAAGAGGAGAACGATTCAGAGGACCTGAAGATGGGGCCAGGTAACTGGAACCTCAGGGTGTGTATTGGCGGGGGTAAGGTAAACCGAAGGAAGTCTTGGGTTGACAGGAGAGTGAGCTTCAATGAAGAATTATTGGATTTTTGATTAAAAGCATTAAAGGTCCACTCCACAGACTTTACAAATACTTTTTATTCAGCTGCTCTCGTGTTGAGCACCATGGGATAAGTGGGGCTGCCAGGGGATCAGTTAGGACTTGTTGGTGGTGAATGCTGGCGTAGAGGAGCAGCCCCCGGGCCGGTCTGTGTCAGCTGGCGGCTGGCCTCGATGGCCTGGGCACCAGGTGGGGATAGCCGCCGTGTTCATCCTCCACACGCTTCGTTTCTGGGTGCCAGTCATCTCCCTATCATTGCATTTATGGCTTTGGAAGGGAGCCGTAGGAGTGGCTATTCCAGCTCTCCCACCCACTGACACTTTCCCATGCCAGAGAGTCCAGCAAGGGAGCTGCAGCCAGTTTCTGCTCCCTTCGTGCCTCACGGATTAGGAAGAATTGCATAAGTGAGGGTAAGAGGCAAGAGAAACGAGTCTGAACTCTGGCTGCTGTGCACTGCGGCCAGCCCCGTTCAGTGCTGTGTGAGCAGGGGGTCTGTGTTCAAACACGGCTTCCAGATCTTTGTGGCAGGCGGCTCTTGGGCACAGATGGGTAAGGGGGAAATACAGAAACGAGGCGAGGTGGCTGCTGTGAATTCGCAGGGTGACACAGCTACTGGGACCTCTGGTGCCCTATAAATCGAAATCATTGCCACCACTCAGCCTCAGTTGTGAGGGCTGCACTCTGCGCCTCTCCAGCACGCTGTTGAGTCTGCAGCTGGCGATAACAGGAGGCAGATAGAAGACCAGATAATTACTTTAATGAAGAACACGTGAAACCTTGTTTAGGTGACACCTGTCATAGCTGAACTGGCAGACAGGCACGGGAGCTGGAAGGGGACATCAGCCCCACGCTCCCCTTTGGCTCTGAGGAGGACCCGTCACCGGGGCAGGGCTGTTCTGTGTGGGTTTTACTCTTTATTTATTTACAAGTTCCGTTGCTTTTCCAAACAGGGGAAGCCTGGAACCGAGGGCCGGCGGCCCAGGCCTCACCTGTACCCGTGAAGCCAGCGGCCCGGCCCGGCCGCGAGGTGGCGGTACGAGCCCGGGCACGGCGCAAGGCCCAGCCCCAAGGGCCGGGCTCGTACCGCCACCTAGCGGGGCCACAGCGCCCTCAGCCCGGCCGGGGCCGTGTCCTGGGCCGGGGCGAGGAGCAGCCAGGGCAGGCTGAGGGGAGAGAAGCCGGCAGAGTGCCTGGCCCCTCAGGGCAGCGGACATAAAGTCCCTGCAAAGCCTTCTCACGGCTTGGTGCACTGAGAGGCGACCCGACACGACGTGGCTTGTGTCTGTGTTGCTGGTCTCCTTTCAAAAATAAACAACACAAAACAACCCTGTAAGTCGCTATTCTTTCAGAGAGGGACATAAACAACCCTCTAAGTCTCTTTGTTCTTTCAGATACAGCCGCAAGGCAAGAGAAGAGTGGAGCTGGACTCTATTTGCTCTCAGAACTTCTTCGCCCGACTCCCTGCACGTGGTTTGTCAGCGCGGTGAGTTGAACCCTCTGGGTCTCGAGCCCTGCCGTGGCTGGGCACACACTGCTCTTTGTTGTCCGGAGCTGTGTATTGACAGACTTTACAAAGCTGGAGAGAACTTGTCCCTGCTGCCTGTTCCCTATGCGTCCCCAGCACCACCAGGAGCCGGCAGGTTGCCCTTGCCCAGGTTACCTGTGCACAGCGGGGCCTTTCACAGTGCGGAGCAGGGAGCTGAATACAACCAGCACTGTGGGGGCTTGGCTATAGGCTACCCTTAAATAAAGCAGCCAGGGATTTAGCTCTGTTATAGGCCTCTTTATGGTAATGTGGTCTATGATGTGCTGCCAATACTACAGTCTTCCTCTTCTCCAAATAGCATCAAGATTTTACTGCATAATTACCTTTTTAATACGGATTTCTGTTCAGAATCTCAACAATGTTGTCCTAACTATACTGACACTGTACCACATCACCAATATGTTGTCTGATGCATCACTTTAATTCGCTTTATTTTATTTTTCTATATTTCAAAAAGGCGTTGGACTCATGCAATGCTGAATCCTCATGGCTTCCCCCGTGTCGTGGGACACAGTCATAATAACTGTACCAAGTCTGGGAGGTTCACCTGAGTCTATGAACTAACCTACCACTTCCCCCACCTCCTCAATTAATGTTGGAGGAAAGAATGTTCTTCAAATGTGTCCTGAGCATTGGTCTGTCACTAGGAAAGGACCAAACCCTTTCCCCAATGGTCTTCTGCCATGTCCCAATGAACTGAGATTAAAATGAGCTGCAACAGCACCTTTTTTCTTAGGCTAGGTTTCACTCTAAGCAGTTACACTGACATTTCTATGCAGCTTTACTCTGGCAGATATCAAGACAAAACTAAAAACCATTTTCCAGGAGAACATTATTATGCATTCAAAGCCAAAGCTTGCTAGCAATTTGCTGCTTTTTTCATACTGACAGTCCTATTGCCTTGACAAAACAAGAAGATTAACAGATGTTGAAGGTATCTTGGCAAACCCTGCAAGAACCGTACCTCATATAAAACTGTTTATATCTTACATCTAGCTTACACGTTTGTAATGGAGGCATATGGTCACATATCTCAAAAACACATTTAAAGGTGCCATATCCTACTGAAACAACATTAATTCTTTCACATTTATACCACTTCCACACTAACACTGTTGAGGTCACTGTGACCCTAGCAGTATCGTAGAAAACTCCTTAGCATCAGAGCAGCCTAACCTTGTAAATGCCTAATGAAAACATCAGTATCCCTTGATGCCAGACTGTTCCCATCACTCAGTCTAAACAGAGCCCAGTCCAACAAATTGAGGCACCCCAAGCTAATGCCTTTTAATTGGTTTATTACCCAATTAATAGAAAACACAGAGAAATCCTCCCTCAGACAAATACCTTCTTTTGTCAGCAGCAAATCATCACTTATAGTTTCCAGAACTTTTGATACAGTAAATGGACTCATTGAATTCCTGAACCAGCTTTTCATTAAGAACTGATAATTTGAGCATATGTTTCATAATAATCCATTTGTGATCTTTCAAACAGCATGGCAGAGTCTGGGAGGCTCTTAACCTGCTCCAGAGACATGGTAATTTTGGCACACTGCTAAGTGACAATGTGGAGCAGTTCCTTGATGGTTAGGTTTGTTCAGTTCTGTGAAGTTCCAGGACAGAACAGCCTGGTCACAAGCAGTGTTTCTCTCCTGCTGTCTGGAGGGGAGCCCACATGTCCCCCCTGAGGGAACAGGAACCATGTTTCCCCTGGTGGGTGTGATTTGCTGGAGTGCAGCCGTCAGGGTGGGAGGCGAGCCCCAGGCCCAGCCAGCAGCAGCCCAGGTTGTGCTTTCCCACCACGTGTGCCTCGCTGTCCAGGTGTGACGTGTCTCATCCCTCATGGTGCATCACCTGCGGGGACACAACCTTCAAGTTAGACAGACATCTGGCTCAGCATTTTGCTCTCTCTAAATGAATCTGTTCTTAATTATTTAAACGGAGCCTGCTTAATTATTTGAAACACTTCTATTTTTTGAAGCTGTTTTATTTGATCATCAAATAAATATGTTTAAAAAAACTAACAGGCATGACGCAGTGCTTAAACATCGCTTGGGGCTTGTTTATCTGTCTTCGTGTTCCATGCTGGAATGTGTTTGTTGGGGCCCAGCGAGTACCTCAGTGAGTGTCTGTTAAGGAACACAGGCCTGATGACCAAATAAAGGGACCGAAATTAATGTTACTGGCACGGAAGAAAACCAACATGATTGGCAGGACCGCAGCCTGGGTGCCCCAAGGGGCAGGAGGGCGCCCAGGGAGGCGCTCAGGGCTGCACCCGCCGATGACCGCACGCCTCCCCGCCCCGCCTGGCGCTGGGTGGCGGCACCTCGGCGGGCAGCGGCGCCGCCAGGGGGCGGGCGGGCCTGTGGGGACAGGGGGACAAGGGGACAAGGGGCTGAGGGGCAGGCGGACAGGAGGACAGGGGGCAGCGCCCCGCCCTGCCGCCCTCCCGCCGCCCTCCCTCCTCCCGCCGCTCCCTCAGGGCAGCCCCTCCCCTGCCGCCACCCCATTGGCTGCCCCTCTGCGAGCCGCGTTCCCCATTGGCTCTCAGCTCGCGCGGCGGCGCCGCCGATAGGCGGGAGGCAGCGGCGGGGCGGGGCCAACCCCTCCTCCTCCCCCCCCCCCTTCTCCCTCCCCCTCCCGGCCCCATTTCCCGATGCTGCCGCCGGGCGCCTCGGCGGGGCCTGCCCGCCCCGCGCCGCCCGCCGCCCCCGGGGAGCGGCCCCGCGGCCGGGACATGGCGGCCGGCACCGGCACCGGCACGGCCCCACAGAGCCTCCAGCACGGGGAGCGCGAGCAGGAGGCCGAGCCCGAGGGCGGCAGCCGGCGGTGGGGAGCGCAGCACGCCGGGGCCCGGGAGCTGGCAGAGCTCTACTCGCCGGGTGAGGGGGCGCTGAGGGGGATTGGGGGGGGTTGGGGGTCTGTGAGGGGGTTTTGGGGGTGCCGGGGTTTGGGAGGTGCCGGGGTGGGTGCCCGGGGTGCTGCCCTGCCGGGAGCTGCCTCATGGGAGGCCGGGGAGGGGGCTCCAGCTGGGGTCTGCCTGTCACGTCCTCATTATCGCTGTTAGTATCGGCGTTATTGCTGCTACAAACCAGGTGAAGGGGGTTGGTCACAAAGCAAGGGAACAACCGGAGCCTTCCCTTCAGGATATTCCCAAGGGCCTTGGGGTGCCCGCAGGAGGGGCGTTGGGGTTTTGGTCGTGGTCTGACAGAGCCCAGCACAGCACAGCCCGTAATTCTCTCAGCCCGTCTGTGAGGTGCAGGGTGTGAGGTTGGCCGTGAGCTGCTTCACGCGTGCAGGCTCAGGCACAGGGAGATGTCGCAGCGCTCGGTGCCGTGTGCCCGTGGTTCCTGGCAGGTCGGCCCAGCTTGTGTCTTCAGAGCGATCAGTGGGTCAGCAGGAGCTCTGGCTTGCACAGAGCCGAGTAACGATAAGCAAACACGCGTTGGTTAATCTGTCAGTTCTCTAGGCTCTTCAGGGCAAGTCTGTGCCCATTCCGGCTTGTGTTGGTTACATCATCCGTGCCTTGAGAGAAGGAGCAGGGTGACCTTTTCCAGCCGTTGGTAGCGATCGCTTCTCTGTAAAGCCCAGGAATCAGTCACCAATGTAACCTGCTCACCGTGCTCCTGCTCATAAGGAAAAGACTCCGCTCCCCAGGCTACCTGCTGTCCTCACGTTTACCTGCAGATGGAAGTTCCTGGGAAATCTGCGGAGCAGTGAGCGTAGGGGTGTGTAGCAGAAGTGACTTGTAAGCTTTTAGATGTGCAGATTTCTCCTGTCATTACATAAATAACTTATGTAAACAGTGTCAGGACACGTTATGGCGGAAGCATGTGATGGTGAACTACTGAATTCTTAATAACACAGATTACATACAACCATGCAGAGTGAATGTGGCTCTGGAGTACTTGCACAACCTCTGTGTGTGTACTTCCTGAGTTTAGCACCTTATCCCTTCCTGTGGGCCAAACATTTAAGTTTGAGTACTTTTTAAACATGAATTACTGCTCTTCTGGCCTTCAGGCCTTTGACTGCTTCGTCTCCCAGTCTGTCCAGAGCTGGAGCTGTTTTTCTGGACTCAGGTGTCCTTGGACGGGTGGTCTTGGGATCCCCATGTTCAGAATACGGACGGTATTTGAACAGACTGAACTCGTGGGACTTGCTTGTAAGGAGCCCAGCGCTTCCTTGCAGTTAGCTAATTGTTCCGTGAGGACCTACCCATTTAACTCCTCTAATCAGGGTGTGGTTTTCTTAGGCTGGAAGTGAGTGTTAATTAATTCTTCCTTTCATTACCCCAGGGATCTCTTTATAGAATCTTGCTCATTGTGACCTGATGCTGTACTGAAATACACTTGTTCTTGTGTCTTACTGTTAGGATTCTCTCCTCTGCCGCTCCAGAGGACATGAGGTTCAGTATCCGTGCCCTTTCTAGAACAGATCTCTGAACAGTAGGAGTCTTTGTTCAGGCTTCTTTAAAAGCTGCTGCTGTAGGCGCAGCGGGGATGATACCGGTCCTCTTGGATGTTCCCAGCCTCCCTTTTGTTCTGTGGTGTGGCGTTTGGAAGGAGAACTGCGAGCAGGCAGTAGGTCAGTTTAGCAGAGCAGTGGGCTGGGAGCTCAGCTCCTGAACACGAGGTGCGGCCGTGCCAGGGCGTGCTCTCAGGGTGTGCTCTCAGCCCATGCTGGCGGCTCGCCTCACGCCCAAGTGGCGCAGTGCGTGCGGTGCCGCAGGGGCAGCAGCAGCAGGAGGCTGCAGGAGCAGCTGCTCGGGGCAGCCACGGGCGAGAGGCGGCTGCACTGGCTGGCCCCGGCAGAAGGCAGAGCCTGACCTGGCTGGGCCGAGGTGGCAGCCCAGATCTCACCCTGGGATTTAGCTGTTCACCTTCCATTTCTGGTGCCTTAATCCACATGGGTCTCACGTTGACTGGTCTCTTAATCTTAACATCAGTGCCTTGTGAGGATCTAGTGGTGATTAGCAGCAGAAAGCTGCCTCTCCGTCTGAATATTCAGAACGCTACCACATCCTGGTGTCTGTTCTTTTTTTAATCGGCATTAAATTAGGTTATTGTAGAGGTGCTAAGTAGTACGGGAGGATTCGTGCCAGTTATTTCTCTCTGCGTGTTCAGTCTCTTGTCATGACAGTACAGCTGAGAGGTTGTAGTTTGCTGTCTGAGAGCAGGAAGGCAAAGGCAAGACCACAGGAGTTGAGGGTTAAATTAAGTAAGCTCCAGAAGTGTGCTTGCAGTGTTAGGAAAGCAATTCTATGGCCACCAAGATACGGAGTGATGCTTTTTGCTGTTAGTACAACAAGGTCTGAGATTTTGAACATCATGTCCCATAAGGTGATTTAACTGCAGGGCTTCTGAGGCCAGAAGCCCTTGTTCCCAGATTCAGCTGTACCAGCAGCGCTGATATTGAGCACCACACGAATTTGAAAGATGTGATGCAGAGGAGCTTTATGCCAGCAACCGCAGGGAAAGCAAACTAGGACAATATGAGTTGATGTCTGGTTTGTCGCTGTTATTTTGGGCAAGGGCAGAGGGGAAGGGGTTAGCAGTGGCTCAGGGAAGAGGAATGTCACTTGACAAACTACTCACACCTCTAATGAATAATAAGCCTCTGTTTCACTTCCCTGTCAGACCAATGGAGCAGGTCATCCAGGCAGTACAACAGCTGTCTGTATTATTTCAAACTTCAAAATGTCCTCACAAATGAAAGTAAAACATGCTCTTTTCCTTCTTTTCCAACAGGGAAGAGGCTACAAGAATGGATCTCTGTCATCTTATGCTTCTCTCTGATCTGTTTCAATTTTTACAATCTTCTCTTCTACTTGCGACTGGAACACACGCCCTCCATTATTGTTGGGATATGTAAGTAAAAAATGCTCGCTTTTGTCAACAAGGCAATATTCTCTCTTGTAATGCTGGAAACAAACATCTCATCTCTTATGCTTCACTTCCTACTGGAACAGGAGAGAGGCAGTTGTGCGCATGCAATAGTTCCTGCAAGTGTAAGGGCTCTTCAGAGGGAAAATAGCTGTCAAGGCTGTTGGAAACAACAATCTAATCCACAAAATTAGAAGAACTTCTTGGAAAGCAAAAGTTCAAGAGAAATCTTACAAAAGGTGTCTCAGGCATCAAACAGGCTTGATTTAGAAATAGAGAAATAGGTATTTGTAGCATTATGTTTTCACGTCAGGATGTGAATTTTGGCCTTTATCCTGAATGCTGACGTCTTTCCTGCAAGGTAGCTGGAAATTCCAGGTGCAGCTGTCGTGTAATAAATGTGACTCTGGGGGTCTCCTTACTTTGATTGGAAGTGGAGCCAAGCAAGCTCAGTCTCATATCTTTGCCTCAGATGTGTGGAGCTGTTTAAATTGCCTGGATCTTGGCAGTACAGAGCTGGTTCTTCTTGAATGACCCTTCAAGTATAGTGTAAGTTGCAAATGCTCTGCTGCTTCCTTGCAGTGACAGAGGGTATGTCTTCATGTGGGATGACAGAAACATCGCTGTTCTTTGGCTCTCTGCTCGTAGATCTGTGATTGCTTTTCTTTGAATTTGGAGTTTAGTAACCAAGTTGTTCTTACCAGGACTGATACTTTGATTTAAATCAACTTCCCTCTTTCTGGGTGTTGGTTGGGGTGGGGAAGGGGAAGGAAGAACTTGTTTCTGCATCCAACCATGGACTTTCAGAAGTTATTAGGAATGCAGTATTGGCTTTTCTGCCTTACTGAAGGAAATGCTTAGCTTAGAATTAGGTGGCTATTAAGTGGGTCTCTACAAAGTTCATTACATCAACCAAAGTCTAAACATGCGCAGAACTTGAATGCTCTCTAACACTCGGAGCAAAAAGTACTGGTGTTTCTATGAGCTTCCTGTAATGAGCATAGTAATGAAATGCTTTTGCACAGAAACTTCCTGGAGAGTGAGCAGAAGAGAGGGCAGGGGAAGGGGCTGAGCTGCAGCTGTGGTCATCTGTGGCTGATTTGGTCTGTTGGGGATGTCCGGCCAGCTCCGGGTAGCTGGGTCAGCCTCCTCTAGGTGACAGTGCTCTGGGGGCAGAACTGTCACCATCTGTAACGTAACCCTACTCATCTGCTGTCTGTGCCATGTGTATTTTTTTCTAAGTACTGGAAGGCTTTAGGGATTTCCTTGGAAAAGATACAGGGAGATAAACTGTGAGAGAAGCTCTGCAAACTGTGTCTGTTGGCTACGTATGTATGGGAGGGAACACGAGAAAAGATTTAAGTTTAGAAACTGGGAGTCAGCTCTGCAGCACATACCCTTTGTTATTGTCTGGTTTGGTGTGAGGGGAAGAAGAGAACCGTAACTTAGCACTTCACTGGACTTCCTGTATACCTGCAGTGCATACTGATGGCTATATTAACGTCTGCCTTTGGATGTATGCTGGTTACATGTTTTTATATGAAATGCGTCCTTAACTGGAAGGAGAATAAATTCATTAGGGCACCATGTAAACTGCCTACAGGTGTTCAGCTTCTGAGCTTTACAGTGAAAGCAATTTTTCTACGGACTGTGTGAGGCATTGCGTGTTTCAGAAGTGATACTTGTTCACTCACTATCACTGTTGTGTATTACTAATGATTTAAAAACCCAGCAGATTCAAATAGTGATAGGTGCTGTGAGTTTTTGTCAAAGCTGAGAACTGCTAACAACTGCTTAGCTTAGTCTTGCCTGCTCTGACTGATCAGGTGGAGGTGCTGAGAGGAACAGAGGTGAGCATGGCATGAGAACTGCTCCGTGCTGACGGGGGCAGATGTGGGAGAATCAGTAACGATTGCCCGCCTGGAGTGCGTGCAATCTGTTTGCAACTGGCTGTCATCTCAAAATTAATATTGATAAAAGCTCAAGTTCTCTGATATCCTGTTTACCAGTGTAAGTGATAAAGCAGCCAATTCACTGATAATGCTATTTAAGCAGTAGTGAATGATTAAAGCAGCAGAATCTGGATTCTGTGCAAATAAAGCAGTGTGGAAATAACTGATAATATGTACAAAAATGAGTGCAATAAAATAAGGACTGTGCACACTGTTGGTTTTGCTGTCAATGTATTACTTCGTCAGGCGAAGCACGGCTGATGTCTCACAGCGATGATTAGCTTTTATTAAGTTTTGTGAGACTTCTCTGTGCCACGGGTAATATAAAGGAATATTGCCATGGGTGCTGTCAGGTGGCTTTCTGCTGAAAGCTTTCCTGATGCTTACGTTAGGATATTGACCTTTGAGTTGGGATCACAGACTAAACCTCCTGCTAATAAAGGAGCTTGAACCAGCTCTGTCTTGAGTTCACATCAGGTCTCTGTCTCTGGAGATTACAGTGATGTGAGAAGTCCCTGGGTGATCCCTGATCCGAGGCTGGCTCTGATCTGCTGCCCTGGCTGTTTGGATGGACTTTGGGATGCCCGTGTGCTCTCGTGTAAATGCCTCCTTCCTGTTCAGAAGCAGGGAGCAGTGTGGATGTCCCGTGTCCCTAACTAGAGGCTGGTATCCTTGGTCCCAATGCCTTTACAAGCAGGCAGCTGTAACGCGGTTACGCTGTAACTAACTTAATCTGGAGACTGCTGGGACAAAGGTGGTCTGCTCCTCCTCCTGCTGGCCGCCTGCAGGCACCCACTTCCTCGTGTGATGGGTGCAGGCTGCTCAGAAGCTCGGGCGGCGTGCTGGGACTCTGGTGCTGATCCAGCTGCAGGTGCCCGGTGCAGCAGGCAGGCGCCAGTGCTGGGGTGCTGCAGCCCAGCTCTGGAAGCAGCTGTCTGTGCTGATAAAAGCTCTCATGGGGGAGAGGAAGAGGAACCCACGTGGTTCTCTCATCTCCTGCCGCTTCAGCAGGCGGGAGGCAGTTCCTTTCCCTTCGCGTGGTCACAGAAGTGTAGGCAGAGGATGGATGACTTTTCTCCTCTGTGTTCAATCCAGTCCCGCCCTATTCTGAATGCCTCTAGCTGCTGAGCAGTGAAAATTCCCCTCTGTGTGCGAGCTGGCAGCTGTGCAGACTGGAGCCTGGTGCTCTGGTTGTGCAGATGTGTGTGGTTAACACCGGGGTGGGCCTGGCTGGGTCGGCTGGCTGTGGTGGGTGCTAGAGCCCCCTGTTTTCAGCTGTAACCCAACTGTCCCTGCTGCAGGACTGCATCCTAGTGCTACAGCCGAACCACAGCAGCCTCAGCCGCTTTGTTAGAAGCTCAGCAGCACCAGGAAGGCTGGTGTAGGTGGCCTTTGTGTGTAAGCACCAAAACAAATGAGATTACTCTTGAAAGCTCTTACACCTCCAGGCACGTTTGTGGTGTCGAGCATATTACTCAGTGCACACGAGGTACGTGATATGTGCTATGCTGATAGCAGCTAGAGAAAGGTGGGAAGCTGCAGCATGGATTCCCTTCCCTTCTTTCTCATCCTCATGACTTCCTGCAGGGTTTTAAAGCCTTTTTGTTTTTTTGCCACATTGGTTGACTTGCATTTTATCTCCAGACGTCTTATGTTCTTAATGGATCTTGTTTAATTGCAGCCCTATGAAAATTAGTTATTAGGCTTGTGTTACCTGTTCATATGGATAAAAGTCCCCCACATATGCTGATACATTTAGGGACATCCTGTGACACAGCACAAGGTAAAATGAGTCATTGCTGACTTGAGGGACAGTAAACTAATTCCTGTAAGGCTTTTATCATGTTTCGTTATTGCAGAAGTTGTGGGCTGGCCAGAGGGCGCTTGCAGGAAGAAATCACTTGTTTCATTTTCAAAACAGAAACCTTTGTCTCAGGCTTGAGCAGCTCTGCTGCAAAGCTGTACCTTGCTCAGCTGCATTGCAGAGCCGAGTGATGACCGTGTAATGTGCGAGAGCTCTGGCACACGGTGGAGGAAAAGCACTCCTAGGCACAGGCACTTCATGAAGTGAGCTGCTTTGATTCTTGCTGCCCTACAGCAAGAGGCAGAACCTTCTGGTACAATCGTGATGTTAAGATGAGTTTCCACTTGGAATTTTGATTTAAAAGATCTTTGAAGGTACAGCAGGAAAACCTCAGTTAATGAAGGAAAATTCTCCATTGGGTGCTGGCCTGAGCAAGAGAAGTCCCCTTGGTACCTGCTGTCTCGTCCCATCTCAGTAACTGTAGGTAGCTGTGTTTTAAGTCCTAAACTGTATCACCTTTTGAAGACAGACCCCACAAGTTGTCATTGAAGAGGTAAAACTTCGATTCAACTACTTGTTGCATTTCCCCTGCACTGACACCGCCTGTTTGTACCGCACCATCTCCTGTTAATGCACACAATGCAATGGAGGAACTGAGGAGCTCCAGGGCCTTCCTGCTCCGAAGGATCCTGGGGGCTGTCGGTCTCAGAAGTGGGGTTACGGAGTGTACTTGGGCAGATGATTTGGCACCAGCTACCTGTTCTCCATGTAGTTTGGTGAGGGATGGACTCCCTCAGCGTGCCAGTGGCTGTTCTCAGCAGGACGGATGGAGGAGGTAACCTCGGGGGGGAGGTGAGCCGTTCCCCTGCTGGGTGCTGTGGACGTGGCCCCATCTGCGCTTCCCTGCTTGTGTGCACAGCGGAGGAGATACTGCTCTTTCTGTCAGCAGCGGGGGCTGAGAGACAAAGGAAGCTGTGTTTGCTCACTGTGTTGTCAGGGGCTCTCTTAAAGTTGCAGGGACTTCGGCTGGAGGATTTACCAACAGGTCTTAGCGGCCCTGGTTTGCTTCGGATAGCGCCTCTTTCAGCTCAAAACACCGCAGTGCTGGAGGGCTGCCCTCATGAAGGAGTGGGCTGTAGGGAATGCTGCCAGGAGTGGCCAGCTCGGTGAGTGCAGACCTCGAACACAAGTGGTGTTATCGCTGCTCACGTCCCCAGCCAGGCCAATGT